GCAAAAAGTTTAACAGCAGCCTCTCAAGGTTTCAAATATGCCTCATGGCATCCGATAAGATTTAAACTTGATTAGCAGCGATATTTTGCTTTAGAATTAGGATATATTATTATAGCTCAAACTTTAAGTCGTCTGAGGAGCTAAAGAATCAAGTCTCCGGAGAAAGATTCCAATCAAAGTATTTGTTTAGCGTACAGGCTGCGTGAGATAAAGCATAGCATTGGAGATTTTGGCTCGCCTGATGCAAATCGACTGGTCGGATGCATCCGAGTTACCGGTGAGAGCGGGATCACCGCGCATAACCATATTACCAAGGCTTCGTTGAATACCGTAATAGTGGGAGGTTTCCCCAAAATATATATAACCTGCACAATCAATATGCATTCGCGTGAGCAATCTCATGGATGCTGGAGATGGATTTACTGAATAACACCTTTCGGTCTAGGAAAAGTTAATGTTTTTGATAATTTGAAAACCCACAATGTCCTCATAAATCGCAATGAACTTGTTTGTTTGTTACAGTGGATTGTAAAGTATAAAAGATGCTCTATAACAGTTGCCAACCTTTATGAGCCCCACATGTCTTCTTAAAGAGAGATGCATAAATTCTCTGAGACTGGAAGTATACATCATTCTAGGTTTGAAGTCTCAGAAGCCAGTTTTCTTGAAAGTTGGGTTTAAAATCATTCGGGAATTGCAAAGTTTTCTAAAACCGATGGAATGCCTTTCTTCTAGCATAAGTTTTGACGAAGAGCTAAGTTGCAACCATGTAATTGCAAGAAAATACATTGTTTGCAAGCCTTTTATAAAATATTTGAATTTGTGAGAGACTCGAAGTGGGATAGAAAAGTTCCCGTTACATTAGTATCATTGTTCTTCGAACCTGTTTCTTTGTAGGCGTCCCGAAAGAAGCGCATACGTAAGCTGGACTCTTGCTATGACTGAAAGACCTCAGAATTATCTTGAAGGATAATCAGTATTACAATCTTTCTTGATCAAAAACATATTTCAACATCTCAGTTAATATTTGATGAGGTATGCCGGTTACCTTATATACTTAACACTTTATTTAATAAGAAGTAAGTAGAAGTGGTAGATCCAGCTCTCACGCAGAGCGATTGAACCAAAAGTCACTGACCAGCTTGCCTTTTGCAATATTTTCTGTCAAAATAATGAAGGGTCGTCATTTCTAATTTCCCTTCCATCTTAGTGAAGTTTGGGATCGTACATAATTTCCCTGATCCATCCAGTCTTATTTCTAGCAGCAGGCAGTCACTACTATTTCAATCAAAGTAGCATAAAACAAAGCTGGTTGTGCAGCCCTGCCAAAGACTGTGGCGGGTTTGAAGAAACATTTATTAGTTAGGAAGTTTGACAGATTTGCTTAATTCAGTTAATCCAATTGATGGATT